TTTTTTGTTTGATGTGCAAAATTTCAAATTCGCGGGGAAGGTTTGAACGAATGTACTATTTTTCTGAATTCTGCTGATTAGGGTATTGAGAATAAGATGAAGAAAACACGAAAGATTGAAGATATCAAATCTAGTTTTTTTTTAGTGAATGGGAGAGAAAATCTCCCTAAGTTCGGTAATAACAAATTGATCCATACTTTATCGATATAAAATATGATATATTACTTGTCTTGGATACAAACGCGTGTGAAATAAGATAGATCCGTATAATCTAACATAGTGTGGTCCGCATTTTGTACAAGCATAGTCAAGGTTGGCTATTTGATTCGTATTGTGGGTCAATTTCGAAATATTCTTGAGTCGAGGAGTGCTCCACGATCCGTGTGAGCAAATCTTTTACAGTTGATTTTGAAATCCTTTTCAATGATACAAGAAGAGTCGTAACACGAAATTTATAGTTGGTCCGTCCCTAAATTTGGAGGTAAATAATTTTCATAGGCTATGATCTCGATCAAATCCAATCCGATCCGGCTCTATTAATCCCTTGAAATGTTTCTTAAGCACTCAGAAAGAAGGCATTTTGATTGATTTGAATGATTAGGGCAGTCTCTTTCACAAGAAGACATGGTTAAACATGTGGTCATATGTGTCAACCACTTATGTTGGCTATCCAAGATTGTCAAATGTTGGGCCATTGAACATGTGTACTGCATTATGCTAGCATGTATTTGTTTTCATTTTTCTTTGTTATGGACAGTACTTTATTTTTTCGTGCATTACCATGCTTTGCTATTTCAATACGGACCGAGCTCCTCCACCAGAAAAAGAGTGTTAGAGCCCCTGATCGATCCTCACATTATGGGGTGGGGCCACTTTTTCCTCCCAATTGTTTAATCATGCGGGGCCCAGTGTTGTAAAATGATGTCAAAGCCTTTATCACCCATTTTTCTAGCAAAGAGGCTTTTTCCTTTCAATATTTAGGTAGGCAACGCTTTCAGTTTCAAGTCTTACGTAAGCAGCATAAATTTTTTATTTTTTATTTTTTATCAAGTAAATAAATTTGTATTGGTCAAAATTGAATACATTTACTCCAGGGTTTGAGATGGTGGTTGTGGTTTGAGATGTGGTGACGATCGAAACTAGTGGTTGTGGTTTGAGATGTGGATCTAAATATTTACATTTTGGATTTGTATTAAAATTGAATATTTGAAAGTAAATATACTTGTCCTTCTGCAGTATCTTAATCAGATGCTCCATTTCTGCCATGGAGTTGCAGGTTTTTCAGAGGTAGCTTTTCTAATTTCTCTATTGTCTTTAGGTACATTAGCCCCTTAGTTCTCTGAGAACATAAACGTGAAAAAATAATCCAATATAGATACACTATGTTCCAAAATTATCGATAAGACTTTTGCGGGTACATAATTGTTCCTTAAGATGGTATGCAGGCGGGGGTTGGAGTTAGAGACAACATGGACTCTTGGCGCTAAGGTGGAGGCTTCAGACTATGGTGAAGTTGTTGGAAAATATGAAAAGGAGAAGATGGAGAATGGAAAAACGAACCAAATATGAAGAATATACCGAAATGAGGCCTGAAACACGTATATAATATACTTTTCTAAAATCAATATTTGCCTCCACTCGGGTTATTTTTAGGATTTTCGACAAATAATTTAGAGGATGTGACAAGTTTTTAAGAAAGAAACACTAAAGTACAAGTATTTTTCCAAAAGAATTTTATAAATTTTTTTTAGGAATTTGAATTTGTGTTTTATGAAAATGAATAATTCAAATGATGTCTTCTTGTGTAATCTTTCACCTATTTATCGATTTTCATTCATACACCACAAACAAATTCCAACAAGTCATGAAAAGTTGAGAAGTTATCATGAAACAACACCAGAAATCAAGTTGTAAAACTAGTTTCACCAATCATGCATATGCATGGTTAATGCCCAAGTGTTGGTTTGATGCCTGATCCTTTATTGTCCAATTTTTCTATTACAATTTTAAACAATTATAACAGAAGGGTAGTGGTGGTGGTGATAGTGCTGACGACAACAATGCCCGTGATAATGACAAAATACTAGTGTTGAGTGGTTTTAGATGGGTAACTTAATATGTCACTTGTGTTGTGTCTTTTGTGATTAGAGTGTTGATAAACCGTGTTGGTGGCACTACATAATGAGTCGTGGGACAAGAAGAACATTAATTGTAGTAAAAAATAAAACAAAACCCCCAAAAATTTCTTCACTCTCGTCATCCTATTTTCAGGAGTTGATTCAACATAATAGAAAGAGTAGGTAAATGTTTCTGATAAAGTTTCGCTGTTCCTATTTGTGCAAAAATTCTTTTGACGGGAAACATAATTTATATTACATTGGCAAAATATGTTCAAGATAAAATATAATTAAGCGAGTAGCTACTGAGTCTCATCTAAAGTTCATTACCTTCTAATTATTTTAATATCCACTATAAATTGAACTTTTTAATTTTATCAAGTGGTGACCAAACTTGATATGGATGGTGTTATATATTTATGGTATAAATATAAAATGTGAAAAAAAATAATTAAATTAGATAAAGTACCAAAGTGGTGGGAAATGTGGCATTTGTGTGGGACGTCAGGAGTTCGAGTCACTTCCCATGCAAATATTAAAATGTCTTGATTGGGGTATTTGTATTAAAAATTTTTTTTTTTATTTAGTGGGTAAAACTAGCCAATATTTTCCGACCGTTTGTTTTTGTAACAACCCATTAACAGTCATTAAAATATCCACTACTCAATCATTAAAATTTTGCATTACTCTCCGATCATGGTGGAAACTGTTACTTCTATCTTGCCTATATAAACCCATATCTTATTTTGGGGAAAAACACACAAAAAACATCTTGTATCAATCCTCCTTTTCATATTCTGAATACTCGGATTTTTACATATATTCTGGAATACAATTGAAAGTTCTAGAAAAATCATTTGTGATTGTTGCACAATTGGTTTACGATCGTTGTATCATGGGAGTGATTGTCCACGGAGGTCGTAGCAATTATCGACGGGCAATTTCACTTTAGGACATCGTGCCATCACGAGACTCTATCGGACTATAAGTTTTCTATTTCTGCATTATATTGTTCTGAACACTATTGCAACTAATTATTTCTCCAACGATCGGTCCTACACCTTGGGAGGATCGGGCTAATTATCAATTATTACTCAAGCACATATAGCTCATGGAAATGTTCAACATTCTAGAGGAAGAAAGTGGGCAAAAAGAAAAAAAAATGCTTTTGTCCCACACACAAGTAGTGGTGGGAGAAATTATGATAATTATCGTGTCAAGATCGTACCTACACTTAAGTTTAATTTTTCTTGTAGTTAGAAAGATCAGTATGATGCATACGGCCCATCACACCAAGTTTAATCTCAATTTTAGACAAGATTTAACTGCAAGAACACCACGGTTGTTCTGACGGTGGTTATAATTGACTCAATTACTTATTTTGAGAGAGGATCATTTTAACTATCTAATAGGATTAACACTTTAAATTTATAAAGAAGATAAAAACCAGTATTTTTTACATGCTTAGCTAAACAGCTTGCTTAAATTTTCCAAAAGAGTCATTTGATGAAGATTAATAGCAGTTAGACGAAATATTGAAATATAAATAGTATTTTTGTATTCTTCTGATGAATGAGGTTAATTAATGGTTAGTTGATTGTGATATGTACTTTACGAGTTCACACTCCACATTAATGATAGAGGCAAGAAGTTGAGAAGGATGTGAGGTGCCGACTTCTGCCATCAATTTTCATTCCATTTCCCATTGCAAGGGGGGCTCACCTCATTTGTCACGA